TTATTTTACTTGTGATTATATATACATTTTTTTTAATCCAATATGCATTATTATTATATATAGTAATATAAAATATAAAGGGAATTAGAAAAGTGTTTGATTATTATTTTAAATTAAGTTATGTTATTTTAATTATAACATATATAAGAAAATAAATTTATATTAGGTGGTCCTCAATTGGGTCCTTTATTTTTTTTGTGTACATGGGGGGGAGGGGGTGATCAGATTAGAAACTTTTGGAATTCAATATTTTGGACCCACCATTGTTTTGTTTGTTTACTATTAAAAATATTAATTTGGAAAGGGCAAAATAAAATATTTGACCAATTTCCTTTTTAGTATATCATATGTTGAAATTTTTTTTTTTTAAGTAAAAATTAGTAAAAAAATGAATAAAATAAAAAATACCCACAACAATAAAATTGTTAGATATGATCTAATGTTATTATATATATATATATATATATATGTATTTAATATACAAAATTATTACATGTACTTTTGAGATTAAGCCGACATGAAATTATACTTGTCAACTAAATTCTCATTACATCCTTAACCCATAAGTTCTCCTTTAATTTTATTTATTTTTTATAATTTATTGTTTTAAATGCTAATCATCTAGAGATTAATCATACAAACCAACAGAAAATGTGACATATAATAATGTCTCACAACTAAATTTTAATTAAATAATTAAATTGTGTATCACTTAATTTCGGGACCCAATTGTATTATCTATCAACTAAACCAATAATGCACCCTTAATCCAACGATGGATCTCTTTACACGTGCACAATCATAATTAATCCATTCATGATTTGATTCATCAAACTCTTAACTCACCATCCATAACTTCATTAATAAGCTTGCATGAATGAGTATTATGGGTAAAATTGGTTGTACAAGTTTTACATGCACCAATATACATATACATGCATATAAATTCAATAAAAAAAATTAAATAAAATCATCAATGTGGTGTTAGAAAAATTTAAAAAAAAAATTAAATCAGATCTAATAAATCTAACTTTCGAATCAACATATTGTCTTAAAAATTATTTTTCTTTAATTATAAAATTTTAAAAAATAAAATGACGCGTGTATAATTCGAAAATCATAACTACTTATTTATATTTTAAAAATCACACGTTATAAAAAAAAAAAAAAAAAAAATTGCTAGTGATGTTTTGTTATTTAGCTTTTGTTGGTAATAAAGAATTGATGTTAACGGAAGATGAACTCCAAGATCTCCATGTCACATCCATTTGATCTTTTCTTCTTTTGTTTTTTTTTGGATGAATTTTATAGTCCATCCAAACGCGTCCCAACAAGAATCATTTCTCTCATGCTATGAAACGAACAAAACCAGTGTCGTTTTCGTTTGAATGTAACATGCATATGGAATGTAGGTTTAGTTTAGTTGAACAACAATACTGATCTTGATTAGTAATATAAATTCATAATTACCCACTAGAGGTAGAGGTATTATGTCAAGATTACTCATGATTACTCTCTGTTTAATCATAGTTGGCTTCATCATGGCTTCTTTGATTCTTCCTCAAGAGACCAAATAAAAGGTTTGACAAGTAAAATATCTCTACTATATATACGTACGTACGTGATGTTATTATTAGTTACACTTATCATATATATACATATATATATATATAGTGAGAGAGAGAGAGAGAGAGATTATTATTCAACTTTCTACCAACTTAGAATTAATTTTTAACATTTCGATGCATCCAATTCTCTGTTTTTATACCCATATGAAAGTTGATTCATATTTTGTAGCCATAATTAAATCAATCGAAACCCACATGTTAAAAAGAATTGATCCATCAAATGATGGTAAATTTGCATGCGCATGCATGCATGTCCATACATATATGTAGACGTGTGTGTGTGTGTGTGTGTATATGTAACTTGCTTTTCTATTTTGGTGAATAATAAAATTGAAGAATTCATAGATCTCAAGTAGTGGGTGTTGAAAATAGAACGTAGAAAGTGAATAGATATAGACGTTGGGAGTTGACCATATTGTTTAAGCAAAGTGAAAGTCTCAAGAGGAAATCAATCAAAGTGGGCGTTGATATTATGAGTATCACAGCCTACTCATCAATTAATACTGTTGACCCAATCAAAAAATTAAACTGTACAAATATATCATCTTCTTAGAGTGTGTGTGTGTGTGTGTGTAGGTATATATGTATGTATATAGGTACATATGTATGTTGGGGAGGTGCTGGGTTAAAAAAGTCTCTAACAAGCCTTGACTATGAATTTCAATTCGTCAATTTCATGTCTCTTAATTGATTCCATTTGATTTTCGTATACTTCCAAAATGGTCTGTTCATGTATATGTTTATATATAAATATAAATATGAGGTTTCTGGATAGCTAGGTAAACCAGGAATCATCTTTTTGGTTCCATGTTTATTACACTAAGTTCTCTACGTATACATATATGTTTATATATGATTTGTTATATATATAAAATTTTCAATAATCAAATCACTAACAACTCAAACCCCAAGCTACCGTTTTCTTCTTGTAATTCATGTCTTAATGCTTTTGCCTTTTCATCAATCTCTCTTTACATGATACCCTTCTTTTATCATATATATATATATATATATATATATATTATATAGGCAGGCTATACATGGTTTAATTGATTCTTCCTTTTTTGCAGTTCAACTGTCCCTAAACTTCTTTGATTAGGTAAAGATTTTTCATAATAGTTGAAAAGAAATATCATTTGAGGTTATGGAAAAAAGGGGAGTTGTACCCTATCATACTAAATATAGATATATTTTATCACTATATATACATCTATACATTGAATGATTGTAACATTGTTCAAAGATCCTGCACTGCGTACAGAGGGAGCTTGAATATTCAATTTGAACACAAATTTTAAATTTTGATTGCATTAAATGAAATGAAATATAGAGGGACCAGATTTAGTAGATCATGAAATCAAGATCCCACATTGAATAGCAGTGAGATCCATATCTTCAAACTGTTCTTTGAGGCAGTCAGCCAAATTTTTGGACTTCGTCAACTTCCACAAATAAAATCTTGTGATGATAAGATTTCTTCCCAGCATCATACAATTACTAAATGCAATACAATCAATAGAACAAGTCAAGTATTCTTTTGGATTGTCACAGAATATCTAACGCGGGTTTACAAATGAATTCTACGAAATTCCTAAATCTGTTTCTACGAGTAAAAGTCGGAGTACTCCAGTCTCTGCACTCACAAAATTCAGCCACATCTACGCAAAATGAGCATTTAACATAAAAAAAAATCCTAGTTTCCAAAATTCAACAGACATTCAAGCAACTCTGGTTTACCCTTTCTGCGTTTGAGAATTTTTCAGACAAAACCGACGAAAAAACAAGATAATTTCAATAACCAGCGGGGTTGCAAGCAAATCAGCTGAACAAACTGTTCTCCGGAGATATTATGAAGCACTTGTACGACTCATGCTCTTGCTTACAGAGCAGAATCCAGAATAGGATGTGATTTATAAGGGGTAAATTCTCAAGAATGCGAGATTCAAAATACATATATATATATATATATATATTGAGATAAAGATTCAAAATACATATTACAAAACCCACCTCACTCTGGCAGCTAAAGAGAGTTAAATGAAAGCTACTCCTGCCCAAGTACGAAACTAGAAATCCTGTATCCTGACTATCGGATAAAACTAAACAACTAGGTTATTGATCAAATAGAAACCCTGTACAAAGCATAGAAACTTTACAAGGCATGCAGGAAACCTGAAATCTGTATAGAATCAATAAGAATTGAGACCTCCCAGCATACGAATATTATTTTACACAAACCTGCTCAAATACCAAATTAAAACTTGATTTGGCCAGGAAGGAAATAATTAACCGACATATAAAAGATTCTAACAAATAAATAGGCTGAATCTGGAAAGGAAATAATTAATCAGACATATAAAAGATTCCAACGAATAAATAGGTTGAATTTGGAAAGGAAATAATTAATATCTTTCTTGATCTACTAATATCTTTCTTTTCCTTTTCATTTTCGTTCTGAGATTCTAGACTCCAGAAGTTTGTTTATGATTTCTTCCTCCAAGAAAAAAAAAAGTTCATGATATCAAGAAACTAAAGACCATTAGAGATGGAATTGTAGCTTGCTTCTCTAAATTCTAAATTTTATGTAGTTTGGAGTATATACTCGGAATAGAAAAAGACTCCTCTCAGACAATGCAATGACATAAACGTGGTTACCGTTACTGAGCTCAAGGGCAATGCTTTTCAATTTTCTAAACCTTTGACAGCATAAACTACATAAATAGAAGTCCAAAGAAAGAAATCTCAAAAATCAGGAAATCGTGCTCGGCCCCAGCTCAAGTAAAGCCATTTGAACTTCACAATTACTGAAATCTATTAAATATGAAATCAAAATAGGAAGACACGAGAAAAATGAGAACAGACATCCCCTAACCACCTTTGTTTCCGTGTTTGGAAGGAATTGGCATTCTGCCTTTAGTTTTCTTGGTTATTAATGGGCAACGAGTGAATCTATTTAAAATGAGTTGCAACCATGGGATTATATCCACAACCCGAAAAAAACAAGAAGAAGCTTGTAGCCCTTATCCTTGCACCATTTTCCATCATATACAGAGACAAAGGGATAGAAGGGCGGCATTTTATCTAATATTGCAAACAATAGAGATCATTGGTTTCAAACCTTAAGTATCCCGTTTAAAGGTCATTTTATCCTTAATAGGGAATGTCATTGGGAGCTCTTTAACTTTTTGGTTGAGACCCTTATCTAACTTCTTGCTTCTTTTGTTTTCTATAGCTTTTGCAGATGGGTTGAACCCCTTTGTTGCCAGACAAAAAAAGGTCATTCTATCCTGATATAAAGCTTTTCTAAACTTTATGTTTTTTCTCTCAAAGAGAAATAAGAAAACCATGAAACACTAATTAGAATAAGTTCTAGTGGCTCATAGGTAATAAACCTTCCAATCCTATATCAGGACGGACATAAGAAAGCCACCGAGGACAGGGATTTAATCAAGATATCATCCATCTAATCAGAAAATACATACCATGATGCTGTATAACGTTCAAGACGTTCATGATGTCAATCTTAAGGTTATGTTTGGAATAAACCTAAAAGTTTTGTAGAGATTCTTTGTAAATCTATTTAATTCAACTAGCTGATTGTGAAAATCATCTCTAAAGAAAAAAAATTAAATTGATCTTGTATGGAATTCCAAATGGATTGAAACAGCGAATTCCAGGTTCCATCAATTGCACATGAAACTCCACATGAAATTAATTTTTTTGTCATCCTAATATATAATAACCAATCAATTTGGGTAAGAGTTTGGGTAACA